AGCTGGAAGTGGCGCTGTGGCTCAAGTGGTAAAGCACTATCCTTGAGCTGAAGAGCTCAGGGACAGTGTTCAGGCCCCATGACCGGACCCCCCCCCAAAAAAAACAACAACATTATTCGAACTTTCAGGTGCCTTTGGCTTACAACTGTAATTCTAGTTACTGGGGTAGCTGGGATCTGGGAATCATGGTTTAAAGCCGGCTCAGACAGGAAAATCCATGAGACTCTTATCTCCAATTTACCACCAAAAAGCCATAAGTGGACCTGTGTCTCAAGGTGGTAGGGTGTTAGTCTTTAGTAAAAAAGCTCAGAGATAGCACCCAGGACCCAAGTTCAAGCCCTGGGAACTGTACACACGTACACACACACACACACACACACGCACCACTTGTCTTATAGGGCGTTGATTTGGAATTAATAACACTTTCACAGCACGGCGCAATACCTAATATACAGAAATGCTCACTGTTAGTACTATGATTATTTTACTCTCAGGCTGTCCCTAAGCACCTAGAACCCAATCTCCCCGGCCTCTGTTAAGGCGCCTCTCCCCCATGTGGCCCCTAGAGGGCGCCCAGAACTCACTTGTCCTGCGTTTTGGTGCCGAAGCCCGAGTCTGGCTCCCACTTCTGGGCGGCTTCATTGCCACTAGCGCCGCTTTAGGATCTTACAGCCACCAAAGAATCCTGGCGCTGGGGCCCCAGGGCGGAAAACGGGAAGGGCAGAGGCAGCCCCACGAAAGCCTCTCCGTGGAGGCACGTGACGGTGGCACTTCTCCCCACCTGCCCTCGCCCCTCTCCTCACCGTACTTCAGGAGACTGGGTTTCCTCGGGCTTCACGGGACCTTCTCCGCCTTTCTGGAACCCTCCGCCTGAATTCAGGGCGGCCTGGGGGCCCTCAGCCCAGATTGGGAAGCACGGGTTTCCGTCGCCGAGGAGGCTGGAGGACTGGAATCAGGTTAGAGAAAGTCCCCACCTCCCAGGCCGTCTGGGTGTGGATGTAGACGCTCCTCTGTCCCGGCTGAAGGAGTGGACGGAGAAAGGTGCTCCGGCGAAAACTACCCGCGGGAAGAGGCTGGGGCGCGGCGGGCGAGCGCTCGGGCCATCGCCCGCAGGGAAGTCGTGTGTACCTGGCTCCCGCACACCTGTCGCTCCCGCGTGTAACACTGCACAATCTGCATACTGTCCTGTAGATTGCAGTGCAGGCTGAGGGTGTGGGTGTGTACTCACCCTTAAACACCAGTGTGTTCTGGAGGC